TATGTATGGAACCTTTAGCATATAAATTCTAACCATGTGACCGAAGAGATATGTAGATGTGTAAACAAGCAACCAATCACTACTCACCTGAATACAGAGGTAGAGAAGAAAGCGCCTCTGCATAAGTCTTGTCTTTTGGGATAAATGTTCGTTTTTTCTTATAAAATGGAACGATAAGGCTACCCAAGACGCAGACATCAGAAGTGTAAGGATGTCCAGGAGGACAACTGTCACAATAATCGGTGTCGCTTTTGATAAAGTGAAAACTTGAAGCTGAGGAAGAGATATAACAGATTTGGCACATGAGTATTCCTAAAGTGAATTGATAGATGAGTAAATAGATCACGGACCAGTATTTGGGTATACGCCATGCAGTGGAGTTTCTTCAAATATCACATACACAGTTTTCAATCGTTGTTTATTGAAAAGGCTCTGTGGATAACAATTTTAGCCTATTATTTTTCGTTGCTTTCTCACTTACCACTTTCCTTGAGATGTTGTTGAGCTGTGTCGCCTAGAACTTTTGAAGTCCTGAATACTGAAGAACCAAAGCCTTCGAATGAAATCCTTCTGTCAATCCCGGGCTATTTCTTTTCCCATAAGCAAAGCCTTCGAAATGCACGAGAAATCGTTTCGCTGCTTACTTTTGACCGCTACTGTAAATATGCATAACTTCATAGAACCACCCCGTACAACCCTTCCGCCGCACGAACTCCGCGCATCCGAAGACCACACTTTATTTAGTCAATTTCAGTCTTTCCTATGAAGCCCAGCCTCTACAAAGACGTGGAAAAACAGAACTACATTCAGTCTTGGCTGTGTTTTTTTTGCCCTGTGCCTCACGGACCCGCCTCACCTACAAACCCCGCCCACACCTTCGCACACCAACTGACCATAGACACCACCATAGACACCACGCACACCGCATCACACAAACCCGTGTACAAACAAATGCTCATCTATGGTTTTAGAAATCCGATGTTCAGATTTGTATTTCGGGGTCCACATCTCTGACAGTTCCGCCCACTTTAGATTGTTCCACCCATATTTTCGTCAGGACGCCAAACGACGCCGTCAACGGTACACATTTTTTTTTACCTCGCTTATCTCACAGTACCTATTTTCATCAATTGGCATAGTTTTTCGTTCACATAATTTTTTCGTTCTCATATTATCGTCCCTTATTATGTCTTATTCAATTTAGCAACCCTATTTATTTGTCAGAGGAAGCAACATATAATTCACCCGAAATTTTGTGCATTTTGATGTAATTGTAAAAAAAAGTATGCTGTTGGCGCTACCTGCAGGACCCATTTTCCTAGCTTCTATTTGATCAGGTAACAAATCCAACACGGCAACGAGACACGAAATAAAAAATATTGACGGCGTAGCAACACTGGTATAGATGTGACCTTAAAATTCGGTTTCATTATGTGGCTATAGAGAAGGAAGTTACCGCCAATACTTTCACGTTGTAGGCATAGAGTTGTGCTATTTCTGTGAGCGAGCTTTTCTGAGAGCAACGAAATTTCCGTCGGCTCCTTTCTACAGAGAGGGAGAATTCTAGATACGTTCATCTGCTAATAATTAAGTTAAT